AAAGAGAGTATAGAAACATTAAGAATTTTGTAGTACTAGTATTAGATTTCGTATTTATTTAGCATTATATTTTATTGAAACGCTTCAAGTGCCTGTGCTTAACAGCTTGGCAACCGTAACCATGCTATTCGCTGAAGGTGAGTACTAGGTACTACAGGGCGCTGCTACAGAGAAGAGAGAAAGGGAGAGGAGGCACGAAGGGGATGGGTCCTCGTGTTTAACCTGCTGGTAGATCACGACCAGTACTCTATTAATGGAGGTAGAAGAACGGACAGACCTGTTGGTCGTGGATTAGACAGACTCCAAATGTCTCTGTTGCAGAGCTCGCAATGGATTACTGAAGGGAGATTTCGGAGGGAGACAAAGGGACTCGCAAGGAGCAATTCCACAAAGAAGCTATACAAATGGATAGTACATCAAGCAAGAGTTTTAGAAGGAAGAGGTCCACAAAAAACATTCCAAAAGGGAGAGTTCTACAGGAGAGAGTTCCACAAGAAGGGATCTACAAGGGAAAGTTCCGGCCACAAGGGAGAGTTCCGGCCACAAGGGAGAGAGAGCCACACGGAGAATGTTCCACAGAAGAGATCCACAAGAAAGAGATCCACAAAGGAGAGTTCAACGGAAGAAAGCGCTACATTGAGGGAGAGTTCCACAAGGAAGAATAGATTATCAGCAACTTACGAAGTCAGCTCAGGTGATGGTACGGATAGCAAAGGACACGAAGCGATTTCTCTCTATCTCTAAGCGTTATGCCAACAAGTCAGCTGGTCCGAGTAACACCGATAGTTAGCACCGACATGGGCGTCAGCCTCACGTCACTTAACACAGATGTAACGCTCACCTGATACTCGCTGAGGTAAACATTGTAGCTACGCGAGCCTCTGCGAGGCATGCTATTCTGCAAGGACAAAATTATTTCATGTAGCAGCTACGCACAGATAGGACATATATAATTAATTTCCCTCATTAGTGGCATCCGACGTAGCGGAACATCGACACAGATAGAAATTGTTCCGTGTAGCAAATATGCATAGCGAGGAATTCCATCATTTATTTTCCCCTTCGTGGCATCCGATTTAGCATCACGTGTGTTGGCAAGGGTGCATCCTCGGTTTACGTGAACTTGATATTTCATGTTTATTACGTTACATTTGGTGACTACATTACAATTGTAGAGAAAAAAGATTGTGGAAAAGTGTCGCTGAATGTGTGGGAATTAGCGGGAAATCAAACCTACCCTTCTGTAGCCCTTGATCGGTGGTAACGTATCATCGTCGGTCTATTAAAAAGAAAAAATACACAATTATAAAAACACGCCGTTGTTTACATTGAGGGTCTAACCGTAATTACATAACACGGGTGGACCAAACAACACAGCTATAAACAAACAAACAAACAAACAAACATATCGCTGACCGCTATACGTACGGCGGCTGGTTGAGCGGCAGCTCTTTTGAAACTCTCCAAGACAAGCTTTCTCTTCTGATACTCTTCTTCCTGTAGACAAAATTCCCATATACTGATATATCATATATATATATATATCAGTTTGTAATTATGACAAATGGTCGACCATGACCAGCCGACTAATGATTTCGAATCAACATCACATTACATGCTTCAATGTTTTCCTGAAGCTGAACCCGGTAACTGGTTCCACTCTGGTAAGTCAGTCCGGGTTCGGTTTGTTCCACCGGGTAGCAGAAATCTCTTCAGTAGACCTCACAGTAAGCCTCACAGGCATCGAGCCGCTAGCATCCATGTAGTAAGGGCTTCACACTCACCACCGCTCATCGTGAGTGTGAGTGTAAGTGAGAAGCGAAATATCGGCGATCATTTACTATACGTGATCACCGGAAGCCACAATGCTGCAATCACGAAGAGAGAAACTCACTGACTACTGACCACAGAGAAGAAAGTCACAATCCTACAGTCACACGGAAAGAAAGTCACTGCCTAGTGACCGCAGATTAAAAAAATCACAATCCTACACCTATACAGAGAGAAATTCACTGCCTAGTGACCACAGCGAAGAAAGTCACAATCCTACAGTCACACAGAGAGAAAGTCACTGCCTAGTGACCAAAACGAAGAAAGTCACAATCCTACAATCACACAGGGAAAACTCACTGCCTAGTGACCAAAGAGATGAAGGTCACAATCCTACAGTCACACAGAGAGAAACTCGCAGTCTAGTGACCACAGAGAGAAGGTCACAATCCTACAGTCACACGGAGAAAAAGTCACTATCTAGTGATCATAGAGTGTGTGTAACACACACACACACACACACACAGACGCGCACACAAAACACCTGATACCACCAGCTATGCGGGGTATAATCCGTCTGCGTAACAGGTTATAAACCACGGCACCTGCAATCCGGCTCGAAACACTGCGGCATAAGAAACACCGTACGTAATCAACACGTTCCTCCAAAAGTAATCGCGTCTGCCTGTTGCCATGCCATCCTACTGCACGACAACGAACCCGACTCGAACCGCGACGTATTTTTCACCTCCCTGCCCCCCTCTGAGAGGTTTAATTGCATATTGCAAAATCGCCGACACGTCAAGCAGTCAGAGTGTTGTGTCAATAGCCGCGTGTGACCGTCTAACTGCTTATATAATGTATAATAAGAGTACAAAGGTTACACGAGTCCACCTCGTTCGTGAACTTGCGTCAAGGGTAAAACCAAAAGAATTATTTTTTAAAAGACGCGCAATCGTTGTGCACCGGTCAGACAATAGCGCCCGTATATACGACTAGCCGAATGAAATCAGCTAAAGGAATTGATATAAATTCGCTAAGATAAATTTGATTTGAATATTAAAAAAGAAATTTAGACACGAATTGAAGAAAAACGAAACAGCGGAAATATTCGGCTGCAAAAAACATTCAAGCATTAAGAGAACTGCACTCGATCTGAATTTTTTTCTCTGCTTTCACCTTGTACTTTCCGCCTATTTTAGTTAGTCTTATCTGTTGTTTCGTAATTGTTACACGGGGTTCGTAACTTACCTCGGATTTCGTCTTGCTTGGCAGATGGGGGAACTGATCGTGCGGAGGTGCCGTGGATGTGACTTCTGTGCTCATTCTAACATCGCGCGCGTGTAAACACGTACACAAACAACAAACGCTAAATGTCTCTCCGTCACTATACGACGATTGACGTAGATCAGTGACTAACTACACGAAGAAGCACGCGGAAATCTTCTCCTCTCACAGCATAGCCAGAAAGAACGTATATGTATATGAACATAAACACGTAAACATACACACACGGCAAGTACTGTTAGCATAACGCACAAGACGAGTAGTTGGATTTACTGAAGGATTAGCGGCTCTCATTCGAATGCTCACGTTATTAGCTTTGCTATGAACAGACGCCGAGTTTCTATTTAGAGGAGCCAAGAGTGTAGCGAGGCAACGGAACTCTCTCAACGTGGCAGTATAGTGTTGTTATTGATTGCTCCTAGTATTGACTTGCCGTAACTAGGGAACCGGCCCGTGCTCTACTTATATCACTGTGTGCGCATCTTCCGTAACTACTAGACACGGTGCGGCCAACACGGACGAGCTTGCTGAGAATTATGTCATCGATATTTTCAATACCTATAGGTATTATTAGCTCTTGATATTTTGTGTATTTCTCCGCGCATACTGCGCATGCTCGAACCCATACATGAACGTGTGTTATATATATTAGACCGTCTTCTGTAAATTTTACGTGTGTTTTATAAGTTAAGATTGCAGGTTTTTGGATGACTGGGTACTTGCACTTTTTAAGTGCATAGTTGAGTTAATTGAGGCAGTGAAAATTAGCAAGTTGTGTTAAATATATATAGATAGAGGTGCGTGTTAACATGCGCGCACATGTATCCGTGCGTAGTTTTAGGTGAAAATAAGGGACGAATGCGTTAGACGTGCCATGCCGCACGCTCGCTTCCTGTCTCTTGATTTACCGTTTATTTTTGTTATAAATCATGTCCTGCGATAGTTAACGTTATCGGGTAGAACGGACGTCACGTTGTGTTGACGAATTTACCCGGATGTACTTTTCCGGTATAAACAACGCGTACATGTCAGATTAGACGAATAGATTTATTCGTAATGAAGCGATATATGAAACAAGTCTGACATCACTAAACACGCTGAGCCGACTCGACTCTATCACGTATGCTAAGAATAAACATTGCGATGATTATAATAACTGGAATAACCGGAATAACAATCATATTTGTTAGTGCGAATGAGTATTATAACGTAGTTTTTAGCCAGTTTAATAGAAAATTTGGATAGAAACTATTTTATTAACGATGAGATGTCGACGTTGTAAAATAAAAAATATATAAAACAAAACTGTAAATTTTGTATTCAGCCAAGAAGTACACGGACGCGAGTAGTGACATCCCGCGCGCTGCTGAAACTGTCGATCTTGAATATGTGGCTGGAGTCAGTGGCAATGCATTCCAACTCCGCCTGAGCGCTGCTTCCAGTGTTGGCTCCAATCGCCCACACGAACACTTCGTAGCCTGTAAAGTAATGATCACGCCATGCTTGAATTCCCCTCTTCATTTTTGTTACAACGTTATAATTTATTAGTATAATAACGAGTACAATTGTTTTAATCTTCGTGTTAGGTAAAATGGCCAATTTCGTACGCTAAATTTAGGTAACGATTGAATCCAATATAAAAGAAAATTGTTCCGATTTTAATATGGCGGCAATCGATGCCGATTGCGCATGCGTACCATAACTTTTCATCTCTGCCGCTTTTGAGCACGGATTTCCGCCTCGGTTTGACTGCCCGTCGGTCAACACGAACACGGATTTCTGGGAATCGGTCCGACCGTATGCCCGAAGAATGTCGGTGGCTCGCTGCAAACCCACTCTCGTGGCAGTATGTCCGCCATCTTAAAACAAAAGAATCACCGTGAAGCTTCGAATACAAGGAACTTCCATTGAATGTATGAAACTCGCTCGCCGATGGCTCCAAGGTTGGTGGTGAGGATTTTTATTATTATTGTTTATAAATTATCATTATTATATATTTCTTGTTCTTATTGTTCTTATTCTTACTATATTATTATAGTTATTAATATTATTAGTAGTAGTAAATTAATTATGAGTAAATTTATACGGAATCATAACGTTTTTTATCACCAACAACGGGTGAGGATTATTTAACAGTTCATTAAAAAAATGAGAGAAACTTTCTGACGACTTACTGTCAAATGGTATCGCCTGTATCTGCCCCTGCACAGCGGTGAGTGAGCTCTGCACGGGGTGTTCCAGATAGTTGAATTTCGTCACCGTCTTCGCGATTTCCGAGAACACAACGCCACCTATGCGAACACCGTCTGAGGAGACGCCATTTTCCGTGTCCAAAAACTCGACTATGTCCTAAAGATGAATAGATCGTTATTGGAGACCGCTTTGCGTTGAACTTTCGCTAACGCTAGACCCGTTTCTAGCTGGGGTTCCTGGGCCTTCCTAGATGTATATCGCTTTACGAGCAATCATGGGGGATATATATATATATATATATATATAGAGAGAGAGAGAGAGAAAGAGAGAGAGAGAGAGAGAGAGAGACACACACACACGCAGACGCACACACAAAACACCTGATACCACCAGCTATGCGGGGTATAATCATGTGTGTGTGTGTGTGTCACGGCTGCATCTCATTCCGATCAGAATCTGCTGATATACCGCAGCACGGTACAAAAATACATATCTGGAATTTTTCGGAGCAATACGTAGAATATGACATCCAGGGATGCTGCCCTGCGTAGAGATGCTTAGCTTGGGAAGTGCGTGTACTATACGCTGCACGCGGGAAACGATGATAGAATATAGACGTATATTTCAGGTAAAGTGTTACGGTACACACGCATAGCGTGTCGAGTGGTACAGTGCACACCCATAGCGGAAATTACTAAAATACACACCCTGCCTACACATACCTAGCCTGGGAAAAGCCTACAACGCACACATGTAGCCTGGAAATCTTTGTATACGCACACATACAGCCGTTGAACTACTTTAATACATCCACATATAGGCTGGTAATCCTTAATTACGCGCACATATTGTCTATGAAATACTTCAATACGCACACATATATAGCCGTTGAAATACTTCAATATGCGCTACAGCACATGTATTGTAGTAGGAGAGAACGGGCACGCACACGCCCGTTGTCGCGTTTAGCAGGCAATGAGGTTACCGTTCCCGCTGCACTGCTATACCTGCGACAGCATGCCGTCATAATATCTCACCTGGGAATATTCCTGTCGTTGCGGGGGGGAGGGGATGGAGGGAAAACTAATCAAACGGCGTACGATCGTGCCCAGGGAATCATAAGCCACGACAATTGCACGGGAGATGTATGCGGGGGAGCGAGGGCTTCCGATTTCCCGCACCGACCGTACACGCATGCTGCGATGTCGTAGGCTGCGGACACGCACCATCCCCTTATATAGCCCACGATTAGCGAAATGGGAAATTGGTAAAGGGAATAACTTATGCTGCCTAAATTAATGCTTATAGGTTCATTAATTACTTAGGCAATTAGTTAGTAAATTAATTAGTTAATTATAAGGTTGGTTGATTAATTATTCAATTAGACAATTATTACTTTTATTAAATCACTGATGAGTTCATGTCATTGACGTCGAGTAGCTTCGTCCGCCGACGGTGCAAACGGTATAAATGTCTGTAGTCCCGCGCGTGATAAGTCTGATTGGGTGTAATGACACGTGACACGTCAGGTTACGGGCAGCTTCACATTCCTAACGTTCTACGAAGATTTTCCGATGGATTCTAGTTCTATAAGCACATAGAGGTCTAGACAGTAACGGTTGGCGGCTCATTTGGGGCACACGACATTAATTACAGGTAATAGGTGGAAAATATCAGTTCCCATGGGCGGAGGAACGTCATCGGCGTAAACAGCATCATTAATTCACTATAGTGAGCGGGGTGCGTTTAAATACCCGCACAGCCACACGCGTGGCATGCAATGCACAACTAGCGTACAGAAAAGATGTCTACGTGAATTAATCAATTAATTCCTCGAGAATAACGCGCAGTTTAAATAACAGACGTGTTAATTAATGCATGCATACTCTCTCGCTATGCTCGCCGCTGTCGTGGGTTACTGAGATATGTTCGTGTATTTACGCTCTGCTGAGCAAAAGAACGTGGAGAGCCACCGCCGCCGTAAACTGTTTCAATTTTATTCGTGACTGCATTTTTTTCAACGCGATTAGTACCGATGTATGTTATCGCAGTTATGGCTTTTCATAAAGAAATGCTATCGCGTAAAGTTTATCATTAATTTACTAATGGTGGACGGAGCGTATTTAATACTCTGTGCGGCTAGCTTTTCATGCTAATTACACCCACGCGCCTTCCCCGCTAGAATTAACCATAGGGTTTAATACGTTTTCTAACGCTCTTTCATCAGCATTATTCTGTTTATTATTAATGAGACTATTATCATTATTATTATTATTATTATTATTATTTGCAGAAGCAGCAATACATCATTCCGTGATAAAGTTTGAGGTAGTATGGTATAAGCGTGGACCGTGAAGTTACAGCCGAGAATAAAGCTCAGAGGCCACGAGAGCGCTTATACTAGCGAGCTAACATTGTCACTCATGCTGCTACGACAATCACATGGTACGGGATACGGGATACGGCGTGGGGCGGTTCTACGTTACCTACAGGTATACCGTATTACCTACAGCTATGCGAAACCGACTTGTTCGTTAGCTTCCTAACGTGTTTAACAATCGACAAGAAACTAATAATCAAGTGCATGCGCTCCTGGTCGTGACGGCACGGTATTATATCTGTGGATGCATAACTACATGCGTGTAAAATATACGTACACGCATTCATGAATCTATAACGAAGGTATCGGGTATCAAATTCATCTTAAGGTATGGACGGAATGCGTAATACTTGATATGTTTTATTTAAACAACACCAGCCGTTATTCTCGTGGAATTAATCTTCTGGTGTGGATACATATACTATTTGCGCTAGTCGTGCCTGTACGCCTGGCTGTAACCAGTATAACACTGTGGCTATGCCGGTATTTAATTTCACACCGCTCGCCATAGTGAATTAATGACATGTTTTAATTACGCCTATGACGTTCCTCCGCCCATGCAGACTGATATTTTCCATCAACTGCATGTAATTAATGTCGTTTACCCCAAACGGGGCGTCAACCTTTCCTGTCTAAACCCCTCTATGTGCTTATAGAACTAAAATCCGTCGTAAAATCTTCGTAAATCGTTGGCAATATGAAGCCAGCAGCGTTCATAAGTGCAGCACATTTGTCATTAAACCCAATCAGACGTACGCGCAGGACTACAGACCTTTGTACTGTTTGCACAGTCGGCGATCAAAGCCACGTCACATCAATATAACCAATAACGCATTGACAGCCACGCCTATAACCACTCGAAAATAGCTGGATCAAAATCGCGAAGTTCAGACAAGAGGCACACGATGTGACAACGTCTTTACCGCGCTTCGCTCGTCACCAGAAAGTCGCGTTTGTCATCTGTTTGTCACCCAAATCTTTCATACAGCGAAAATAAATTGTCTTTGCTAATCACGAATGCGCCACACCGGGGTGATATGACAAAAGCGGATTCACTGGTACCAGTGTTCCTTCCATACAGCACGCCATCTTTCGCAATGCTAATAGAACTAGATTCTAATTAGAAATGATAGCCAGGCGAAGGCCAAACATGCTATAAATATTGATCGAACATCTGCCGCAAGTATAAAATTCGGCATAGAATTTATATCGGCATATATTTTTTCGGCTAGAATTCAGAGGATTTGAACGCACAGGCATTTCCTGCCTCGTTATACAGTCAGACTCGCGTTAAAATTACCGATGGCTTGCGCACCTGTGGGAACGTACCTGGGGGAGCGGCGATTGTTGAACGCCTAATTGCAATCGTAATGGATACCAGCAAGCAGAAAGCAGCTGACAAGAGCTATAATATTGTATCTAGCAACGGCCATAGATACGACCTAATGGATCCTCGATGAGCGATTCTATGACTTGACACGTACCGCCATGCGCATCAGCTGGCGAGTAGAGCGTATCGAACACCCGTAACGAATTGACGTAAACGAAGTAGATGAAAATGTGACAAATTACGTGTCGCAGCGAAACACGTCACGCCTGTCTACCTGTTGTCACACGTCACGGATCTGTCAGCTATCATGGGGCGATACAGCGTCAAGTATTTATCACGCTCTGCGCGATAGTAGATGGAAATATGTAACCCAACATATTAGGTTAGTAAGTGGTAAAAAGTAGCTATTAAGTAGTAAGTAGTAGTAAGAGTAGTTGCTAACCCTATACTCTGTTGGGTAACATCAAGGTTTATCAATATCTTTCATGTATAGGAGCAACTTTTGTGTGTCGAATGGTGTTATATAGCTGCAAATAGCGTTCATAACATATTTGGTATAGCCGCTTACGATACAATATTAGTAGCCACAGTTTAAAAGGAAATTCAGAATTCAAGTTAGTAAATACAATGCTAGGCAATTACATTTTTGCTATCGATTCGTTCGTTCAGTTCGGAGGTTCGTTCGTACATTCATTAATTCGTTCGCTCGCTATTTGGTTCGTTAGATGGTTCGTTCGTTCTGCTATTTTACGCAATGGTTGTGTCTAATGCGGCGATGGTAGTCCTTTCTCCTTGTCTATAACTTCATAACTGCTATATTACTATATACTATATGGTTATATACTTACTACCATGTATTACCACATATTATCGTGGTGAATAATGACAATTTTGTCATTATTCACCCCTGATATTATTATATTGCATTATTATACTGTATTATTATTCTTATTCTTCTTCTTCTTCTTCTTCTTCTTCTTCTTCTTCTTCTTCTTCTTCTTCTTCTTATTATTATTATTTCCAATATGGATCACGGCATTAGCCGGTGGCTTCTGGGTTGACCGTGTCCCAACCTGGGACATAGGGATTCAATCCAGAATTTTTCGCAGTATGTGTGCTGTTCCCAATAGTGCGATTTTCTGCACTTCTTGGGCAGTGTGGTGGCCAGGGAATTCCTTAAGGTTTTTCTCAAAACCATTCTTTATAGACCCAAGGGCTCCAACCACCACTGGTACAATTCTCGTCTTGGTATTCCACATCCTCCTAATTTCGATCGCCAGATCTTTGTACTTGGTGAGTTTGTCTCTTTCCTTCACCATGATGTTAGTATCATCTGGTACGGCTACGTCAATCAACTAGTATAGTTTGGAGTTTAACAGCTTTCCTGTTGTGGAGCACTATATTAGCGCGGTTTGCAGGTATCGTGCGATCTGTCTGCACTGCCATATCCCATGCACATTATGGTAGTATCTCCGATGTTGGTAACTGGTCTCGGAGACTCGGGGTATGTTCACACCACTCATTATTATTATATAATTATTATTATTATTATTATTATTATTATTATTATTATTATCAGGAGCTAAGAATGACAAATTTGTCATTATTAGCTCCTGTTATTATTATTACTACTACTACTACTACTATTACTATATTTTTAGTAGGTAACTTACTATAGCTTTCCAATCGTATCTCGGCTTTATATTAAGCAGTCTCTTCACCAGCTGCACGTTGCTCCGCTGAATCTCCTTCTCTCTGTTATAGCTGCGAAATGAATGTATGATGGTATCAAACACAGCACAGCCCGCGTTTATAAGGTTCTGCTCCTCTGAATCTCATTCTCTCTGTTATAGCTCCGAAATGAACGTATGATGTATCACACACAGATAAGCCCGCGTGTGTAAGCGCTAGGTTACCATCACAGCACAGCCCGCGTGTGTAAGCGCTAGTTTACCATCCCAGCACAGGACGCGTGTGTAAGCGCTAGTTTACCATCACAGCACAGCCCGCGTGTAAGCGGTAGTTTACCATCACAGCACAGGACGCGTGTAAGCGGTAGGTTACCATCACAGCACAGCCCGCGTGTAAGCGGTAGGTTACCATCACAGCACAGGACGCGTTTGTTGGCCTAAGCGTTATAGGTGAGCATCATAGTACACGACGCGTTTATAAGCGATATAAACGTGAGCATACCCGCGTGTGTGTGTGTATCGCGTGCTGGCTAAATTAATTACAGTTCTGCAGAATTCAGTATCCGTGCGAAATGTGACAAATTTACGCGCGCATGCAGGAGCGAGCGTGATCTGCGGGTTATGCGTCAATTACGCGTATTATTTATAATATACTGACGTGTCTCGTGCATTTACCGACATTGTATTGTGCTATAAATGTTAATGTGGCCGACACAGACACCAAAACCGACATGATACAAATATCGTGTCACATACAGACACGATGATAAGCACACAGTGGATATTATATCATATACAGACACTATAGCCATATTGCTGTAAATATCCTACCATATAAACACACTAGAACCATCTTACTGCGACAATCATGTCGCGTACAAGATGATCATAACCATTTAGCAGAATATATTTAGAAGACATTATGCCACATGCAGACATGAAAACCACCTTTCTGTGAATATTGTGGCATATGTACACACACTAGTCTACAGCTACCCGCACGCAGGTATCGCACTCACATCGCTGCCTTTCGTTGCTGGCGATGTAGTCGACGTGTGCGCTTTTTCTCCGCTGGTAGGCCTTCGTTGTCGGCATCGTCACCTGCTGTTTTCTCTCCGACTGGCTGCAACACAAGCAAAATCACTGTTTACTACGTCGCTACATACTACATCACTACCTACTACGTCACTGCCTACTACATCACTACATACTACATCCATACATACTACATCACTACATTCTACATCACTACCTACTATACCACTACATCACTACATACTACATCACTGCATACTACATACTACATACTACATCACTACATATTACACCACTACATCACTACATACTACATCACTACATCGCTACATACTACATCACTACATACTACATCACTACCTACTACATCACTACATCACTACACATACATACTACATCACTACATACTACATCACTGCGCAAATGCTCTATGCACAAACACTACCTGGCCGCCATTGCCGACGGTGCACAGTGACAGTTATATATATATATATATATTATATATATATATATATATATATAATAGCTATATATAAGCTATATATTTAGCTATATATATTTATATATATATATATTAGTTATATATATTTATATATTTAGCTATATATTTAGCGATATATTTAACTGTCACTGTGCACCGTCGGCAATGGCGGCCGGGTAGTGTGTGTGCATAGAGCATTTACACGGAATTTACAAGAAACCTGTCGGCAATAATAGGTAAAAGAGAGTATAGAAACATTAAGAATTTTGTATTACTAGTATTAGATTTCGTATTTATTTAGCATTATATTTATTGAAACGACTTCAGAGTCTCGTGCTTCACAGCTTAGCAACCGTAACCATGCTATTCGCTAAGAGGTGAGTACTAGTAGTACAGGGCGCTGCTACAGAGAAGAGAGAAAGGAGAGGAAGCACGAAGGGATGGGTCCTCGTGTTTAACCTGCTGGTGAGATCACGACCGCAGTACTCTATTAATGGAGTAGAAGACGGACAGACCTGTTGGTCGTGGATTAGACGACTCCAAATGTCTCTGTTTGCAGAGCTCGCATGGATTACTGAAGGGAGATTTCGGAGGGAGACAAAGGGACTCGCGAGGAGCAATTCCACAAAGAAGCTATACAAATGGATAGTATATCAAGCAAGCGTTTAGAAGGAAGAGGTCCACAAAAAAGCATTCCAAAAGGGAGAGTTGCATAGGAGAGAGTTCCACAAGAAGGGATCTACAAGGGAGAGTTCCGGCCACAAGG